AAAAAAAAAAAAACAATAAGGCCCTGGAATTTCATAGAAAGTGGATGAATATAGAAGATTTGTTGCTGAGTGAAGTCAGTCAGTCTATGAAAGAGAGACATTGCATGTCCTAACATACACTGACTGTCTGCACTCTATGATAGAGACTGAAAGACTGAAGAACATAAACGTATTAAAAACTGTAGTGGATACTAGAGACAAAGTGGAAAGAGAGTGTGAGAGGAGAAGAGCATAGAAAATTTGGGGATAAAATGGAGAGGTAAGACACTTGTGGGACACAGATAAGTTTTATTATCTGTTGATGATGACATGTATAGTATTCTCAACTGGGCTGGACTGAGGTGTATATCATGCTGGGTAAAGTCTCTTCACAATCTAAATGATATATAGCAATTTAATGTATAAATAATAATTTAAAAATATATAAAAAATAAATAATTTTAAAAAGACATTATTATCAATAGCTTCAGACAAGGGCAATACAGACATCTATTAAAAGACATTTGTGAAATCACAGCACAAGTTGGATGCTTTCTCTCTTTTCCTCTCAGTGGTCACTGAACCAGTGTGGCCACATCAGCCATGGGGATTTGAGATCTAGTCTAAAGGCCAGGTGACTCAACATTGAATTTCTTGTGCCCCTAGCAACTGCTCTCTATTTATCATTATTATCACCATTTTAATTTGACCAGAGAGAGAGAATGGGAAAGTAAGAAAGCAAGCTGCTAGGTTTAGGATCGGAACTGCAGTCGGCCATGGAGTCCAGTGCCCCAACCATCATGCCACCTAACAGCCTCTGGAAAAAAATACATATTAAAAGGTTTTTGGTTTTATTTCTTTTCTTTTCTTTCTTTGTTTTTTTTTTTTGGTTTTTTTTGAGAGTTTTTTGCTATAGGGCACGTGCACTCGCCAGACAGACAGAGAGAGACAGAGAGACAGAAAGAGAGAAATTACCCCCCAAGGGGGATGACCACACCATAATCACTTCTCCTCCATTCTCCTCTCGGGATCTTGGGCATGCACGCACATGTGCCCGGCGTGAGTTTTAAGTCATCGGGTCCGGAATGCGAACCGCAGTCGACTACATGGGAGTCCAGCAACATAACCATTACGCTAACTGCTGGTTCCTTTTATTTCTTAAGTGCAGGCTAACAAAGAAAGCTGAAGGAAGTTGACAAGAAAAGTCAGATTTCCCTGTTATGAGACCAAAGGGCTCTGTGTGTAACAGAAAAGTCTACAGGAAAGGTAAGGACCGTATTCTAAGGCCCATCGGTGTCAGAAACAAACATTTACTTCCATATTATTAGATTCTCATTAAGAATGGGCAGCAGTTATATTTTCCTTAAATAAAAATGGACCTCAACTAATAGGGTCTTCTGAAAACAAGGAATTGGATGTTTGTGGTTAACGCGCATCGTCCTTGTGGACAAGACTGGGTGTCTCATGGTTTTCTGCTATGTCATCAGCCACTAGGCCAGAACAGCAACATCATTTCTGTGAACGTGTCAAGGGGTTGAATAACTGATTAAAATCTCAGCAGGGGAATAACACACATATGCAGGTATCACAGGGGTATGTCACAGAAGAGAGGCAAAATTCTAACCTGGAACACAAGAGCACTCATGTAGAGCTAAGATTTTATTCTACAGAGTCCTTTTAAAATGTGGAGGTGAGTGCTAGAAAGGGAGAAGACACCCCACAACACAATAATGTGAATCCAGAGTAACCATTTTTATTTTTTCTGAATACTACTATGTGTGCCCAATGAAGTGTAAGTTTATAAATGAAAAAATAAATAAATAAAACTGGAGGTGAGCTGCTAAGGAGAAAATCCAGGGACAAAAATAAAGAGCTCTCAAATCCAGACAGGAAGAAAAGTAAGTGGTCCACTTAGTCACTCCATCAAGAGCTCCAGACGTCTGGTAGAGAGACAAGTTTAAGGGACTGTACCCAATTGAATTGCAGCTGCTTGTGTTGCCAGGACACTTCTATCACCTACAACCCTTTCCTCTACATGGCCCATCAGGTGTATATATAGCCATAAAGTTGTGTATATGTGGCCAGTAAAGTACCACATTCTTAGAATACACTTTTTGTGTGAATCAATGGATGGATGAATGGAAGGGTGAGTGGACAGACAGACAAACAAATAAATGAACAAGCAAACAAAAGAATAAACAGTGTACTCTTTCCTCTATGCCCTTTAAAGTCATCCACTCAGAATTAATTTTCTACTTAAAAAGAATGTTCAGCAAAGTCACTCCCAGTTGATTTCTCCACACTACACATGAATGTCTGACTCACCAGAGACAGGAAAAGCAAACTATACAAAATCTGGATAGTGGTAATCTTCCCAGACTCCGTACCACACCAAGACAATTAGAATAATTAATAGCAACTAGAATTCATTGATTTAAAAGTAAATTACCACAATTGGGTATCTGCAGGTTTGTCAGGGGAATGTTCTTGCTGCTTTCATTTAGGCAGTACAAATCCTGAGTTTCTGGACTGGGTTTAGTCTCTTGGAGAGTCTTGATCCACATGATGTCACAGGAGCATGTAAATGGATTGCCCACCAGGATCCTACATGGAATAAAAATGAAACTTCAGCAGGCTCCTTCTTTAATTTTAGCTATATAAGTATTTATGAAATATTATGACTTTATTGATTCTTTCTAGATAGCAATCTTTGGTAGTCATGCACACTTTCCTAATATAACACTCCCTATTATTCTTTCATTTATCTTATACTTACTGAGCTTCTGCTACGTGCACACACCACCATATAAGCTCAAGAATGCAAACTGATCTAAGACCTTACAAAATAGCAGGGGAAACAAAATGGAAACAGAAATAATATAATATATGAGATCTCATATCTCATACCATGGAAGAAATTGGGTTCCATAACAAATGTCTCATGATTACCATGTAGGTATTAAGATTTCACCCAGCCACAGTGGCACAAGTGGGAGAGTGTTGCTGCAGGTGTGGTAGCTGAGGCCACATGGGAAGCCTGGGTTCAGTTCCCAGCTCCTAATCAGGCTGGGCATGGTGGAATGTGTCTATGATCCTAGCTACCCAGAAGGCAGGCCAAAGGACTCAATGACAAGACCCTGTCAAAAATACCTATCTTTGGGACCAGTAGTTAGCGTAATGGATATGTCGCTGGACTCCCACGTAGTTGATCACGGTTCGCGTCCCCGACCTGGTGGCTTAAAACTCACACTGGGCGCATGTGCACGTGTGCCCAGGATACCAAGAGGAGAATGGAGGAGAAGGGATTGTGGTGTGGCCATTCCCCCTGGGGGGTGATTTCTCACTTTCTGTCTCTCTGTCTCTGTCTGTCTGGCGAGCGCAAGCACCCTATAGCAAACACCTCTCAAAAAAAAAAAAATACCTATCTTTCTGTCTCCCTCTTCTTTCTCACTCTCTTTCTCAAAAGTAAATAAATAAGATTTTAAGTGAAAACATCAACAATAGGTTTTCAGGAATGCTTATTTCTGACCAGGCTAAAGTCTCAAGCATTAATTAATAAGCTCAAGTTTCAGTGGGGGAAGGAGAGGCAGAATAATTCATCTCAATTTAAAAGGAGTCTGTGAGTACAAAGCTAAGACCAAAGTATGAGTGTCAGCAGGTTGGCCATCCCAGCCTGTTTTTTTGTTTGTTTGTTTGTTTTTTTAAGTTTATTTCTTCTATGTAAAAGAGAGAGAGAATAGGATCTTCACACTGCAATACATTCCATTCTTAGGTGACCTGGATGGATAATGAGCACACACGTGTTCAGGGAGGCCCCAGGATACAGACATAGACCTTTCTCATATTGGCCCTGACACTCCCAGCCTTCTGCACTATGTAACCACAGCCAGCTTCACTGACACAAAAACTTGGAGTGAAGGTAAAAGTGAAAACCTGGATGGAAGCTATGGCATTCCTTCACACAAATGCAAGCACGCACACAAACACAGAACAAGTTCAGGGTTTCTGAGGTCAAGGCAAAAGGACTCCAAATTGGACTAAGGTTGTTGGGAAAGTCGTGATGTATTTTCTATGTTTTTCTAGATGACCCAATAATTAGCCCACTGTGGGAAGCTCTATGAAGAGAAAGTCATCACCGTTCAGACCACAGCCAGCCATGCTGCCTAGAATCCTGTGGCCTACAATAGGTGAAAGAGGAAGTAGTCAAGAAGAAAATAAAAACCACAAGGAAAAAAAATCTTTAAATGCTTATTTATAATACTCAGTGGCCCATTTAAGATGAATTCCATTTATGGTAATGAGCCTTTAAATGAGGCCATTTAAAATCATTACATAGACTGCCTGGCATTAACCACAATACTTAAGACTTCTGTGAGGACAGGACCTGGGCTTTGCAACATCATTTATGCCTGTGGTTTTTCTGGTTGGGTTCTAAGAATCTCAAGGATCCCTGGAGACATTTCTGGGAGTTTCTTTGGGGAAAATGTGGTCATGGTAGACATACTTAATTTGTGTCTGCTTGATCGCTCCCAGGATTCTTCCACCAACAAAATAGGATTTGTTGCTACTAGACCTGGAATATAAGGCAGAAGAGACCCTCAACCAGTTTAAACCCAACTAATCCAAGATGTTTCCTGGAGCTCTAAGTACACGAAGAACTAAAGAGTCTTCTGAAAAGAAGATATAATTAAATCAAGTAAAGGGATAAGGAGACAAAGGGAAGCTTCACTTCTGAATACAGTGATGTTCGTATGAATACCCAACACAGGCAGGCAGCTGGCTTCATCCTCTAGCTCACCGTGCAAAAAGTTGCAGGGAAAGCCAGAGAGAAACCCTAAATGGAAGCTATTGAACTCCTTCACACACACGTAAGCATGGACACATGCACAGAACAAGTCATACAACAATCTGACAACAGTTATAGCACAGTGTATCCTTAGCTGGCATTTTGGTTTCTACCTCTCCTACTGGAAGTACAATCCTAGAACACATAAATTTTCCCCCTTATATTCCCATAACCCAGTGCCACATCAGTTTCATTTGTTAGCAGGTACCATTAACATTTGTGGAATAAATGGATTAAATGTGCTGCAGGGAGAACTTTGAGACTTGAACTTGAGGTCAAAACTCTTAACTTTTAGCCCATCAAGAAAATTGTATGCAGTGATAGCCAAATCTTTATACTTACTCTATTTTATAATTTTCTGCCAAAAGTTTGACTTTCTTGACTATCCCTGTGTTAGAAACACCATTGTATCAACTCTCTGAATTCAGTTAATTCCAAATAATTGCCAGTTGTCAAGACTTTCACTATGTAACCTCCATTGCTACTTTTTTAAAATTTGCCAGGGTGTACATGCACTTGCCAGAGAGAGACAGAGAGACAGAAAGAGGGAGAAGGGAAAAACACCCTCAATGAGGTGTGGTCACACCACAATCTGTCCTCCATCTCTCCAAACCGTTGGGATTTGGGGATGCACACACACACACACACACACACACACACACACACACACACAGAGTGGTTTTCAATCTGCTAAGACTGAGATCCAAACCACACAGTCAGCCAAGTGGGATAAGGCTCCGTTAACCATCAGGTCATCTCTCTACTTAGTGGCATCTTCCCATCTGCATAATTTCTTGTAAATAGGGATGAATTTTCATTTAAAAAAATTAATAATGGCTTCACCATTCAGGAACCACACAGTTTAAGCAAAAGCCACTGTCTAATATTTAAAGGTATTGTCCTTCCAGGCCCACATCTGCCACACAAAAGTCCCGCTTCCAGTTCTTCAGGGTGCCAGACCCACAGGAATGCAAACAGTTCATATTTGCTTCATGGTGATAAGACGAAGAATTGAGCATACTTGGAAATGCTTGCTGTTAGTCATCAACACATTTCAATATTTTTCTTATCATTTTACAGCAGAAGAAATTAGGACATAAGGGTAAATGCTGACTGTGATGGCAGACCTGGAAGGAAATTTCACAGACACGAGTGGGTAGGGAGAAGGATAACCTGTCCTCCAATGTTCACTATACTCAAGCTGACACTTGCTATTTCTTCTTTCAGTGGGTTTGCTTTACTTCAGGGCCTGGATGCAACTGGAACCAAACAGAGGCTGTGAGATACACAGCCATTTTAACACCAAGCCCCCGGCTCTCTCCCATTTTCCCTCTTTCAGAAAGTAAATAATTTATATAGAAACAACACGTAAAGTCATCACTAATGATAAGTTACATAAATGATAAATTATCGGCATGTCTATTTTTAAAATTATTGAACAATGTTTTCATGAGAAAATAAAAAAAGAGACCAGACCTTGAAAAATCATTTTAAGAGTTGGGATATAAAAATGGATCTGCAACATTATTTATAAAAAAAAATACTTAATTACACTTTTCTTTGAAACTATTCCCCAAATGCCATAGAAAATCGTTACTTACAACTCAGATAAGTCGAGGTGACGGAAATGTTTTCTAGACAAACTCGTCAGTTTATTTCGGGTAAAATTGCTGAAAAGAATCAAAAACATTAAGTGTGAATTTAAAATGCTGTATTTTAGGGAAAAAGTGTTCAAGTAAAGATTTTTGTTTTGTAGATGCAATTTATTTGATCATTATATGTGCCTTACTTAGATCAAAACATCTCTTTTTTTTACCCTGGAATGATAGCTTCGTTTCCCCTCAACCTCTCTCACAGTTCTTATTTACATAGGAGGGAAGTCATATGTTTTATATTGTCTGTTTTTAATCTCTTTTTTACCCAAATATTTCTCATATGCTTGTTCAAAACCTTATAGAGATTCTGACCTTTTGAACAATTAATAGGAGGAAAGGCAGGACATTAGTGAGAAACAGATATGGCTTATTACCTGTTGATGATGACATGTATAGTATTCTCAACTGGATTGGTCTGAGAAGTATTTCATGATGGGCAAAGTATTTTTACAAGCAAAATGAGAAATAGCGATTGACTGTTTTAAAAAAATAATTAGAATAATAATAATAATGATTGGGGAAAACATAGAAAAGATATTGAACATTGAAGTGGGGAGATTAATGTCTCTGTATTGACTGACATGCATGGCATTCCCTTTTGAAAAAGCAATGTAATACACTGTTAAGTTATATGTAATCCAATGTAATATAAAGAAGATTATGATGATAATAATAAAAATTTAAAAAAACAATTAATAGGAGGATATGCAAAATAAAATAAAAATTTTAACTACAAACTCTCTAGGGATAAGAGAATGTTTTAAGGAAAACAGCATCATGAATGTTTTTAAGTTTTGTGTATATGAAACTCCTACTACTAACTGAATTTAACATGCTTTTTATAGGAAAGAACGCATCTTCTATTGATCGTCTCTACTGAGACTGTTAATATATGAGCTGATACGCAGATAATTCCATAAGAACAACAAAAAATCAGGTAACAAAGAACACATCAGAGTTCACCTTTAACTGGTGTAGCAAAATACCATTTGGAGATAGGAACCAACCACACAAAAAGATGTGGCATATTTGTGATTAAAAAAATATAATAATGAATTTACTGACATGTTCCAAATACATAGATTTATTCAAGGGGTGTTAGTTTCCAGTGCTCAGTACCATGAAACTCGGGGTGAGAAATTCAGAGCCATAATCCTGACAGTTGATTTACTCCATTAATTTTTTACCATTTGAATTGATTTAAAGTGTGTCCAATCCTTGGGCCCCTAGACATATGTTTAACAAGTACCATGAATGGAGAACAAACATAAACTTGCACAAAAACAGCCAAGACCTCTACAAGCCAGAGAAGCCTATGAGCCTGTCAGTGTCTGTCTCCTTCTTAGCAGAGCAAGTGTTGGGCTGAAAGTTCATAAAACATGAGATCTGAGGTACTCTGGGCCCCTTCTAAGGCTAAGCAGCATGTCAGCCCAGGGAACTCATCGGTTGAAGTGTCCTGCTGTGCCTGCCCAGTCATCTTCAGAGAGGAGTTAAAACCCAGGAGCTAAGGTATGAGCTAGGGCTAGCGACGTCATGACAAAGAACATGCCACTCTGGTGGCTCCTGACACAAGAATGTGTGCGTGTCCACTCCTAATTTCATTCTAAACTGAGATTTCAACTCATTCAAACCCCTACCTACAAGAGGGGACCGCCCTTCTGTCTACGCTCACATCTCCTCTCTTCGCCCTAAGTGCTCACCCACATGAAAAAAAACAATCCATCAGGAATTTGTAAAATGTGCCCACATAAATCTTTTCTTTTGGAATGTGAATTGAGAATGGGTTTCACTGGAGTAAAAAATATTGAAAAGTCAATCTGCTTGTCTGTTCCGTAGTCTTGAAGGCACGAATGTTTTCAACTTCATCAGAAATCCCATCCTTCTCAAAAGGAACACAAATTAAAACTCATAACCTTGCACTCTGTACCCTGCACTCCCATGCTAAGCAAAAGAAGGGGAAAGGAAGTGAAAAAAAAAAAAGAAAAGAAAAAAAAAAAGAAAGAAAGAAGAGAAAAGAAAAAAAAAGAAAGAAAACGTATTGCCCAGGCTCCCCGTGTCAGCCAGTAACCCACAGCTCTGGGAGCCGCTGCTACCTACAAGAGGGGACCGCCCTTCTGTCTACGCTCACATCTCCTCTCTTCGCCCTAAGTGCTCACCCACATGAAAAAAAACAATCCATCAGGAATTTGTAAAATGTGCCCACATAAATCTTTTCTTTTGGAATGTGAATTGAGAATGGGTTTCACTGGAGTAAAAAATATTGAAAAGTCAATCTGCTTGTCTGTTCCGTAGTCTTGAAGGCACGAATGTTTTCAACTTCATCAGAAATCCCATCCTTCTCAAAAGGAACACAAATTAAAACTCATAACCTTGCACTCTGTACCCTGCACTCCCATGCTAAGCAAAAGAAGGGGAAAGGAAGTGAAAAAAAAAAAAAGAAAAGAAAAAAAAAAAGAAAGAAAGAAGAGAAAAGAAAAAAAAAGAAAGAAAACGTATTGCCCAGGCTCCCCGTGTCAGCCAGTAACCCACAGCTCTGGGAGCAGCTGCCCTGTCGGGCTGCCAGCAGCTCGTTGCAGAGCAGGGTTACGGGCCAGAGAACAAGATGAGTTCTATGAACCATACTTATTATTGGGGCCAAAAGCCAAAAAAGAGGAAGAGGGGAGGGGAAAAAAATCAACAATCCTCTTACTGTTTGATTATGGAACTTTGCAAAGGAGCTAATTAGCACCTCTGCAAAGCCCCTGGAAAACACAAATCCTGGCTTTTCTCACAGTCCTTGGTTTCTTACAAGCTGGGCAAGAATTAAAGGCATCAAGAAATAAGCTCAGTGGCCATGGTTGGGGCTCTGGACGTCACCCCGCCATGCTGCTGTGGAGTGGATGGGCAAGGGGAGGCAAAAGTGAGAGAGGATCCAATCTGAAGCCTCCTAAAACCCAAAGTGAAAAGAACTGATCTTGCACACATTTTTATATTTTAGGGAAACTCAGAGCTATAATCCATATATTCCAGAATAGAGAGAAACAGCTTTTTTTATACACATTTCTCTATCAGCTCGCATGCATCCCACTGTGCTGATGTTTAAGATAGACTGCGGTTTATATGTGGGAAATCAGGGAACTAGCCAGGTCCCAGAGTCCTCAGTGAGAAGCAGAGGGTGGACTGAGATCTGGAAAGGCAGACACACGACCTAAGTCTTTCCCCTTTCCTACCTTTCTCAAAAGCGAGCTGCTTAATTTAATTTCATGTGTTAGTGATGAAGAGCCTCTTTGATCATGTGACGATAGAAAGCTTACTGACATTTGGTGATTTCCTCCTGTCTGAATGCTTGTCTAATTTCACTCTGTCTCACTATTTGACAATGGCTAGATATTTCTACAGTTTGGTCAATGACTAGCTTTTCTTTTTAAGGAAATTATGTAGTATCTGTAGATCTCTTTCATTTCTTTTATTTTCAAACAGTATCTCTTTGAGAGACAGGGACAGATATGTGGCTTTCTATAAACTATGTACTGTACATAGGACACCATTCAAATTATTCAACCACGTCGCGTCATGAAAAAAAATTTAAAAAGGTGCCTTCCATATTCATATAAATAGCATGCAACAAAAAAGAACATAGGAAGTACAGCAAAGTAATAAATAAGTCTATTAATAAAAACTACAATTAACCATAACCCACCGTACAAATCACATTAGGAGAAGTGATGTGATAAAGCAGCCAGTGAAATATGGTTGTTGAGTAATTTGGGTGTAAGGTCAGCTGGAATGAAAATACCAGAACTTAACCACTGAGGTCATGAATTACATTTAAGTGATTGCCTTAGAAAATGCTGCCTCTTTCTTTGATCCAGTCTCTCTCTTGTTTATGCTATCAAGGCCTACGCAGACATCAGATCTGTGCAGGCAAATCGACTGTAGAGATGATGCCAAAAAGCATTTAAATGAAATGTGTTAATAAAGTTCCTCCCAGTTTCATCACATTTTCGCAGAACGTTTTATATCTTAACTCTACAGACTTTATTTTTAAAGTGACTTCACCATCCAGGCCACCTGTAAAGTGTGGAGTCATAATATGAAATAAACATTGCCCATAATACGAAGAAATCTGCCTAGCGTGTCCAGGCAATGTGATTTAAGAGAGTGATTTATATCATAACTGGCACGGAAATCAGTAGAGAAACTGTTCTCTCCAAGAAACGAGAAAGACAAGCGTTACAAAACATGCTGAATCCTTAAGTACAAGGATGGTTCATATTTTATTTCCTGTCCTCCTATGGTAAGAACATGGAGAGAATTTAGCCCTGGAGTCATAATTCTGCCACTTACAGTCTGTGGATCTGGGCAAGTCCTGACTTTATCTACGCAAGGGGAATTAAAAAGATCTCGCCTACAAACAATCTGAAAAGAATCAAGTGAGGGGACCAGCGTAATGGCTATGTTGCTGGACTCTCATGTAGTTGATCGTGGTTCTAGTCCTGAACCCGGTGGCTTAAACTCCCACCGGACGCACGTGCATGTGTGCCCAGGATCCTGAGAGGAGAATGGAGAAGGGATTGTGGCGTGGTCATCCCATCCCCGGTGAGGTGGGGGGGGGTTGATTTCTTGCTTTCTGTCTCTCTGTCTCTCTTTTTGGCGAGTGCACGCCCCCTATAACAAAAACCTCTCCAAAAAAAAAAGAATCAAGTGAGATAATGCAAGTTAGAGTTCTACAGGTAAACTCTAGATTATGAGAAACATGAAGTATCATTGCAAAGAGAATTTGGTACTGTGAAAAAGAGTCAGAGAATTCAGACAACAATCCTCTGGCAGATGCTTCCACTGAAAATACTTTTAGTTTAGTTTAGTTTTGTGATTTTTTTTTTTTTTTTTTTTTTTTTTTGATTTTTTTGTTTGTTTGTTTTTTATTTGCCATAGGACATGTGCACTCACCAGAGACACAGAGAGAGGGAAAATGAGAAATCACTCCCAAATGGGGATGGCCACACCACAATCCTCTCTTCTCCATTCTCCTCTTGGGATCTTGGGCATGCACACACACGCACCTAGCTTGAAATGACTTTCAAACCCCTGGGTACAGGACTTGAATCATTCAGTCAGCCCTATGGGACCTAACACCTTAACCTCCATGCATCTGTTAGCCCCACTTCCACTGAAAATCTGAGAGGAGAAGGATACCAGTCTGAGCTTAGTGTGCATGAACACACTTCATGTGGGTGATTCTCCGTTTAATGATGAGATCACTCAGGAAGTCCACACCGTATTGGTATAAATGCCATCATCTAGCATGTTTAGCAGCAAGGAACCTAATAGCTGCCATTTTCCATGTTTTTGTTTGACTTTGGTCAACAAAGCATCCTATGACTTTCAGTAGACATTTCTATTGCGAATAACTGTCTGAACTTGTGACGTGTCCCATGATGAATTTTTCTCCACTTACATCAATCCATTATTGCTTTGGGGAAATGAAGGTTCAAAAAAGGACCTATTGTGTGTGTGTGTGTGGGGGGGGTATTAGTAATTCCTAGTTCTTTTAAAAAAGGCCAAGGCCAAGTCAGCTTCTTTCAATTCCACTAGTTTGATGTCTTCCAGGGAGTATGTCGTGATTCCAAGGAAAAGAATCAAGGACTCTGTACGAGGACATAGTTTTCACATCAGACTCCTTGCTGTTGGCCTATTGCTCTGTCCAAGATGGAAATGGCCCAGAAATTCATGAAAAGGAATAAACAGGCTGTTCTAAGTACCCCTCTGAAGCTATTCAGAAATCAAACAAAATCAAAGCTAATGTTTCTAAGCTATTATCACAGCTATACTAACTTTAAAAAAAAGAGGTTTAGAGTTGGAAAAGAAGGAAAATAAACAGAAGGGTGAAATAGTGAATAAATTGGGTCCTGGGAAGCCAAAGAATGAAACTCTACTTACATGTGCTGCAGGTTGCTGTTTTTCAGAAACGCTTTGTGAGCCACAAATTTTAATCCAGAATCCACAATTGTCCTGAGAAAACACGTAATTGCATGCATATTAGAACTAGCCGTTGGATGCCCCACTGACCATAATAGAGCACAAGAAAAATCGTTGAGGAGTACTCACAGATTTTTCAGTCCCACGTAAGCTTCAACATCATCTTCGTTGATGATTTCTAACCTTTTCTGATTTGCAATGAAACTGCAACAAAGCAGAAATGAAAACCAGTGGCTCAGATTGTAGGCAAGAATATGAAAGAAGGGGTAACTCTGTTCATCTCACATAGGAGCCTGAGGCAATCCCACCTCACCCACCTAGCTCAATTTCTTTCTTTAATTCATCAGCGGGAGCAAAACTGAGCATGACTGAAAAAATATGACTGACCAGGTTTGGTCAATGGTCAATGATCAATTAACCAGGCAACATTTTTTCCTTCATCTTTTATCACTCTGTTACCTACCCAACATTTCTCCTGCCCTTTCAGAGCACATGCAATTCACAGAGGTGAATACCTTGGAAGTTTCAGCTTTTAGTGACAGCCACTGGGATGCTGGAGCTATCACTGTGCAAGAAAAGTCTCATCTTCCCTCATTTTCCAATAGAAGCACACATGCTTAATCGCCTTTCACTTCCTAGAACCCTGACAACATTTCCCCTTCTACTTCTCTCCCTCCTTCCTCTCCTCCCTTCCTCATTCCCCGTGTCTCTTTTCCAAGACCAGTATTTTCTCCTCTCTTGATCAGAAATAATACCAATTTTTCATTTGGGGAACCACATTTCACAAACCCCATGTGGCCTAAGTGAATTCTCTGTAGAAAATCACCTCTCTCACCACCATCCAAATCCTTAAATGTAGAGGCAGACTAATGGTCAGAGAGCTCCATCCCATAGGCCACAATGATTGGCTTAGAGATGTGCATATGACCTCAGACCAATGAGAGTCTTCCCTAGAATTAAACAAACGAATGCTAGGGAGTCACTCTTTTTTTCTGACAATATAGCTGAAGAATGACACAGGCCTGGGACTTCCACAGAAAATTTTTCTACCAACAGAAGAAGCTGTCCATGAAAAAAGTAGCACACAGAAGGAAAGAAAAAAAGAGTGCTAAGGAGATATGAACAGAGTCCTGATAATAACCACCTGAGCCTTTGGATCCAACCATCACTGAGGTCAGATGTCACTAACCTAAGTTTCATCTGGATTTCTGTGACTTAAAATTAACAAAATGCCTAGAAATACAGACATGTAGCTACTAAAACCAACGTCATGGAATTTCCTGTAGTCTACCTTGTACTACTACAGCTAAGAACCTATATAGTCACTTTCTGTAGATTACCTTTTTAAAGTTAGATATGCCTTGTAATTTTTTTTTTAATGAAAGAGAAAAAGACAAAGATAGATATTTTTGATACCTTTCCATTGCTATCCCCTATTGCTGCCCTCTGGTCAGCTAGGACACAGGCTACCATGCTTGGCCTGCTATAATTAGTCCGGGATCCAAACCTAGACCCCCATGTGGGGCCAGCCTCATGCAGTGGTACCCTACTACTTGTGCCACCAAGCTGAGCCTGTTTTATAAGTCTTAGTATGCATCACAGCATCTAACTCAGTACCTAGCACAAGGTAGTATGAATGGATACTCAAAGTATGAGTGGATAGATGGATGGATCGACAGATGGGTGAACAAGAGTTAGCCAATTATTGTGGCCAATGGGGTGGAGTGCTTTGTCTGACCATTAGTCTGCTTCTACATTTAAGGATTTGGGCAGTGGTAAGAGAGGTGGTTTTCTACAGATAATTCATTTAGGTCACATGGGGTTTGTGAAATGTGGTTCCTCAAATGAAAAATTGGTATTGTTTCTAATTCTAATCAAGGCAGGATATAACATATCCCAGTTAATACACTGAAAACAAATAAGTAGTCCTATTAACAACCTGTGTTAAAATGAAAAAAGATATTAAACAATGGGGAGAGCATTGATCGTTTATGGGTTCCTTCTACCCATTGGAGGAAGGAAAATGATCACAAGATTTATGATAAGGGTTTGGACATCTCTTCTTAGACAAAGAATTTTTAAAATAAAAATAGATAAATTCTCTAAGGGAGCAAAATTACACCAAAGGGAAATCATTTTTAAAGGGCTGCACACAAACACCATCCTCTATTATGTAAAAACGCAAGATAGAAGGATAACTTCCTCTCAAAGCTCTGGGTTCTCCCTGATAGTCAGGGCCTGGTACTTTAATAGAGGTGCGGGAAGGATTTGTTCCCTTCTCGCCTCCCACCACACAGCAGAAAAGAAACATTTTAAGACTTGAACAGAATGCTCAATTTTCAACATTAAATTTTTATGAAATGTTTCAAAATTATCACACTAGAGATATATTTTTCCAAGGTTTTCATTCTACTAACATTTTCAATAGAGACCACAATGATCTCACTCTTGCAAATTGTCTCACAGCAAGAACTGCATTCCACCAAGCCCTAAATGTGAATGTTTTTATTTTACACAACTGGCATCAAAAAGGTTTCCTTCCGAGTCAACATCAGGACTTCCATATGCCTATCCACACTATTCGGCACTATTAGCATGGAGCCTGCCACGCTGTTGGCATGAGAGTTCTTCCCCTTCCTTACCTGGATAATCACTGCATCCTCCAGGCTTATGACAGGTGCATGACACTCAATAGGCACTTAATCAACATCTGCGGCTCAAAGAGTTTTTACTCTAACCTTCACTATTTACACTCTTTATTTAATTTAATTTTATTTCATTTTTTGTCAGATATTTAATTTATAAACATTCCAGTTCTATTCAATGAAATACAATAAGCTAACAAATAAAAACAGAAGTCACAGAAGAAAGAAAAGCAGAGGTGGAGACATCAGTGGAACTAGAAATTAGTTGGAAAATACATAGACTTCCTAGAAAAAGATCACAAACCTAATCCTGAGCTCCCTTGTCACTGATGACCCAGAAAAGGAGGGGGGTGATGATAAAATTGGTCAGCAATAAATTTATAATATTTATGACTAAAAATAAGCCAGATGTTAAGTGGTATTTATGACTGAAAATAAGCCAGATGTTAAGTGGAGCACAATTGTTCTTGGATCTAAGACCAGAAAGGAGATTTTGCTAAAAATCATTTAAAAAAAAAAAAAAGGTATCAGGGGCTGGCCTCGTAGTCTACTGGTTAAGGCAGCCAGATCCCACATAGCCAACCACAATTGGAATCCTGGCCCCAAAAGACTGATAAACACTCCAGGCATGTGTGCATGCATGCCCCAAATCCCAATGAGATGGATAGACAAAGGGAGGAGGGATTGTGGTGTGACCAAGCCCCAGTAGAGAATGCTTTCTCCTTCTCCCCCCTCTCTGTCTCTCTCTAGCAAGCTCACAAGCCCTCTGGCAATTTTTTTTAAAAAAAGAAAAGAAAAGAAAAAAAGAACTATGTGAAATTATAAAAAATAGTCCCTAGCAGGTATGCTTCCACTGTGCAAA